GGGGGGGCGGGAAACGCACAACACCCACACACAAGACACCTGCTTGGGCTATATCTAAATAGCGTTTTGTCTGTTGAACACTTAGAATGTAAACTTTGTCAGTAACTGCACTTCAGGGATCTTAGTATCTTAGTAAAGTATATATAGCAAGATCTTATTTGCCTTCTTTAAACAGGAAAAGGAGACATATAGGTCATTTAAGGGTCATTTTTGTCCAGTGCATTGTTTTGTACTCAGGATAAACGGAGAAAGGTTTTCAAGTTATGTCATGCAGCAGGGGTTAGAGTTCTCCAGATGACAGAACTGGAGTTTAGATGAAGCTCTCCCTTTTGGGACTGTAATGCAGGATTTAAATCTAGGTCTTCTTTAAATTCAATTGAACTTTGATTACCAACGGAGCAGAAGTTATGAACTTGCAGCAAAACATTTGTGCGTTTCACTCTAGGTAAGCAAGTCTATTCATTTTCATAGCACATTCGGTTAATCTATTAACTAACCTTTATTTCTGTCAAGCCTTGGGAACATGGCTTTCAACATAGCGGTACATACAACTGGCTTTCACTTATAACTAGTCTGCTTAATACTGACCAGAGCAATAAAGAGAAAGGATTTCATTTGTAAAAACGCTCGTTAATCCAAAGCCAATCCTGTACAACAACACAGTAAGAGGAGCTTCCCGTTTAGAGAACATCAAGGAGTCGGCATGTTCCTCAGCAGTCAGCCAAAGGCTGCTCCTCAGAGGAGTGAACAAGTCCTCAAAAAAACTGCATAAATAAAATTCACCTGGTTGCCCAAGACAGTACCCTAACCTGAGTCCTCATTCAGAGATTTTAGAAGAAATGAACGCTAGTGTTAGAGCAGACTCGCACCTCGGTTCGGATTCAGTTTTTGTGAAGCCTGACAAATTGCTGTCAACAACATGAAATGTGCATCAGCTACTTCCTGTTTCTACAGTCAAAAGAAATAAAGATGGGACAACTAAATTAAGAACATACCACAGTTTATTTCTGAACTGACATTGCACTATCCCAGGGGATCAGCTACCAGATGATTTCAAGCATTTATATCTTCCAAAAGCCCAAACAATTATTTGGTTCTAAAACAGTTCAGCTGACTGAGTGAAGAATCATTTGAAGCAAGACAGGACTCAAAGGACTGATTTTAGAGTGAGTTGTCAGGGCTAGAAACGAATACAAGACAGCTATTGGTAGTCCCAAAAGCTGCCAAGACAGAAATTTCTGCTGTTTATAGTACAGCAATATTTGTCGATGCTGGTCCAGAACCCACGGTGCCTACTCCTGGTATTTCAGCTCTACTTTGTTTAGAAAACTAAGACTGCTTTAAAAAAAAAGAAAGAAAAATCCATCTGGACCCTATTTAAGCTCTCCCAAATAACAAAGCCTACTGAAGTTGTTAAAAAACGTTATTTGGCATGTTTACCCAGACATTAAGAGAGGTTAAAAGTAGCACTTTACTCCACTAGAGCAAACATGAGGACTCCTTCTTCATCACAATTACACAAAATAGGAGATTTGCACTTGCCAGACTTACTGTCCTCTTTCATTTCCATTCCCCAGTCAGGACGATGAGTCCACCAGGGAAGTAACTAAGGATCTCAAATCTAAGCTAAATTGGATACCATACAAGCTCTCTATCAGGAATCCAGAGCTCCGACCCTTGTCGGCATCTCTCCTGAGCCGTGCCTGCTCAAGCAGAAGCTGCTGGGCTGAAGTTTGTTACATGAAAAATAAGGGGTATTTGGGGCTTTCAGAAAGCTCAGCAATATTCTGGAAACACGAGGATCGCCTTAGGACACATTCTACTTTTTTGTAGGTGGTTCTGTAGGAAGAGAAATGGGATACAGCAGTTTCTCAATGCTGCTGCTTCACAGTTGTCCAGTGATGTGCATCTACAGCCCAGCTACCAATGACTTCCAGAACCTGATGTGCAAAATCCTGTGACTTGATGCATGAAACGTCTCTATCATTTTTTTTCATTTCACTGCCACAGAAAACCAAGGCAACCAGTTTGTCCCACGACCCTGTCCTATTCACCACCAAGATGTAATAGGTAAACAGAAATGTCAGCAATAGACTTCAGAGATAAAAAAAAAAAAAACCCCAACACAGCAATATGTAAAGAGCCCCTGGCGTTCTGATGGACAAACTGGTCCTTGCTACAGAAACATCCTTGCCTGAGGCTGCAGACAAAGCACTCCTGGAGGTGAAGACTGGAGACGTGACTCGAGCACGCCTCCACTGCCCGCCTGAGTCACGGGGGACCGCCA